TACATAAAATATTATGTATTATTGTGCATGAAACGTCAATAAATTAATTTAAAACTACAATTGTAGCTTTAATTCCCAAATAAAATAGTAAATTATATAAAATATTATATTAGACTTTTTTGTTTCAGCTGTCTTTGGTAACAAAAATTTTTAAGACCCGAAGTAGACCATGAAAGACTTCTTGAATGTCTGGAAAGTTCGGATATAGACGTTTCAGATTCTGAACACTACGATGACGGCCTTGATCCAAATGAAGAATTGTCTCAGCAATCAGATTTGGCTCAATTTGGCTGATGATGAACAAGACACAGAAATACCATCCGAAGATGAATTAGATAACGTGCCACTCAACGAACGAAAGAAAAAGCTTGAGAACCGAAATACATGGAATAAAATGGGTGTTTTTGTCCCTCAGCATGTAGATTTTATTGGAATTGTCGATACAGTCCACGAGAGACAAAATTGGAAAGTTGAAAACTACGTCGGTATGTATTTTGATGATTCAGATTTTGAGAATATTTGTAATTGTACGAATATTAAATTTTTGCAAGAAAAAGGAAAAGCTTTGAACGTTACTCTAACTGAGGTGAAAATCTTTTTTGGAATATCTATCCTAATGTCCTGTCTAAAGTATCCACAACTTAGAATGTTTTGGGCCAAGACAACAAGAGTAAACAGTATTGCACAAGCCATGACACGTGATAGATATTTTCAAATCAGAAGCAATTTAAAAGTAGTTATTGACGCTGATGTGCCTCAAGATCAAAGAAATGCTGACAAATTATTTAAGATCCGGCCTTTGATTGAAAGAATACGAAGAGGTTGCTTAACACTTCCAAGATACAGTGAGGTTGCTGTGAACGAACAAATGATACCTTTTACGGGAGTGTGTAACATGAAACAATTTGTTCGAGGTAAACCTAATCCAGAAGGATTAAAAAATTTGTCTGCGCCACTCCCAAAGGATTAATATTAGACTTCGATATTTATCAAGGGAAAAATACATTTGATGATGATGTTAAGAAGTTAGGTGTTGGTCCATCTGCTGTTATTAAGTCATCTACAACATTATCAGAAGGAACACATGTTTTCATTGATAGATATTTCACCACCTTACCTTTACTTGAGTACATGTTAAACAAAAATATTTTTTTAACTGGTACAATAATGAGATCCAGAATACCCAAAGCAGTTCATGTAACATCTGATGGAAAAATTAACATAGTCCAATGGTATGACATGAAATCAATTATGCTAGCGTCAACTGCGTTGCAAATAGAACCTTCAGATGAATGTAAGCGATGGTCAAAAAAGGACTCCCGATATGTTGAGGTACCTAGACCAAACATTGTTAAAAAGTACAACGAATCCATGGGGGAATAGATTTAATTGACAGGATGATCAGTTATTATCGAATGGGAGCTAGAAGTAAGAAATGGACAGTAAAAACCATTTTTCACTTATTTGATCTTGCGATTGCCAATTGTTGGATTCTGTACAGAGATGACCATAAGCAACTGGGTGATGCTAATAAAACCGTTATGCAGTTCCTGGAGTTTAAAATAGCTGTTTCTGAGTTGCTCCTTAAAGATAACATTTCTGAAAATTCTGATTTTGAGAACATTTCAACACTGGTAACTAGAAACAGTTACAAACCTAGAACATCACTTCAAACGCCTACTAAGAGAAAGATACAACACATTCCTGCAATGGCATCAGAGTTAAAAAATTCTGTTAGATGTAAGCTTCCAGGTTGTAAGGGTAAAACCAAAGTTTATTGTGAATCATGTGACATATTTTTATGTTTAACAGGAAATAATAACTGCTTTAAACAATTTCATTTACAATAAGTTTGTATTGATGCGATCCTGATGTACTTTTAAATGGACATGTTTTTTTTTCACATTCAGCAAAAAAATAAAAATTCAGAAAAATTTACATGTGTTTTTATACTAAACATCAAACAAATTCTATTATTTAATCAAAAAAAAAAAAAAACAAAAAAGATCAGATCAGGTCTCAGGAGGATATGTGGGAACCACGAAAAGACATACAAACACAAGGTTAAACGAACATAAAAGTCACTGTCGTTTAGGACATATCGACAAGGAAGGAAGGAATTGAAGGAAAAATTACTAGAAATATGGGATTTGTTTACATTAGAATTTTGTTACAACTTGGTAAAAACTATGCCTCGAAGAATTGTGGATGCCATTAAAAATAAAGAGGATGTAACTAAGTGGTAAACTTTCACATCTTTGTTAATATTACATAATATTGTATCCGTTTTTTTTAATTTATTATTATTCTGTTTAAGGCTGTTTTATCGGTGCACCAAAATTTTTTCTCTGTTATTTACCGACGAAATGTCTCGAAATTTGGACATGTTATACGAAATTATGTTGCTTTTAAACTGATGGTTTTACTTTTTTTATTTTTTTGAATTTTCTGTTGAAAAATTGGATTATACTGTTTAACGTTCTATTATAACCAAACTTTTCACGCCCATCAGTTGAAAGAGTTTTTTTTTCTGTAATCGTTGATTCTTTTTTCACCTTTCTGTGTCCAGTAATAATCGAGAAAAGCGTATTCAAACTTTGAAGAAAATTGCTAAAAAATACTGAAATCTAATAGTGAAACGTGTTCCTCATCATTGTCGCTGAGCTTGATCGTTATCGCATTAGTGACGTCAAATTACATGAGCGTACGGTACGGTCATATTTTTATTTCTCTATGGGTACGGTCAGTTAGTTCGCTTGAATTAGAATCCATTTTAGTTCTTTCATTCTTGTATTTTCTTTATCAACTTGCTTAGTTTTTACAGTTTACAGTATTCTTATTTATTTTGAAAACATTGAAATTATTTAGTTTACGTGTATGTTAAGTAATATATTATTAGTTTAGTGGTATAAGTTAAAAGTTCTTTAGTTTACGCGAATTTTTAAGTATAACATTAGGTTAGTGATATAAGTTATAAGAGACAAGATAAAAAAATGAGTCCCAGTAAACGTCCTATGTCAAGGAAAAGGAGAGCAATTGCACTGCTTTAGTATTTATTATTTATATTATAACCGTTTTTATAAAAAAACGCTAAATAATAAAAGCTTTTATTTAACTTTATATATATATAATATATATATATATATATATATATATAAATATATATATATAATATATATATATCTATTCAATATATTCAAGGTTTGAATAATCATTCTCCATTTTCATGCAACTTTTCTAATATGGAGATTATCAAAGAAAAAATGGACGGATTGATAAGTACATTGACTTTTAAATGTCAAATGTGGAATATTGAAAAGGAGATAGCAACATAGGATTCTGGTAACAATTCACTGAACTTCAATGGTTCTGGTTATTCAGACATACAGCAGCAGCACGCTGCATTAAATATACCTGTGATTTCCTACAGGCAGTATGCAAAACATACGGAAACAGTTGCAGATATCATCGGCCAAACACTTTGTGATTCCTTAGAAGAGGCTGGACGGGAGGAATTAGCTTTAGCCAAAGAAATTGGTGAAGTAGATTCCTACGGAAATGAGTTAATAACCGTTATAGCTGATGGTGCTTGGTCAAAAAGATCGTATAAAGTAAACTACGATGCTTCTTCAGGTGTAGTACCTGACGTTGTAAAATTTATTAAATTAGTACGCCTTTGATGGATAGGACATGTAATTAGGCGAGATGAAGATGAAACGATCAGAAAAATTTTCGACCGAAGAGGACCAGTGGAAGACGATCCAGAGGAAGACCAAAACTTAGGTATCAAGATAACATAGAGGATGATCTAAAATCCATCGGAGTTAAAGCATGGAGAAAGTTGCCAGAGGCAGGGGCGAATGGAAGATTGTTCTGAATAAGCCTTTGGCTCATGACGAGCTGAAATGCCACTGATATGATGAAATAACTATCCACGATTTGTGTTTTATTCATCAATTGGATACTTTTCTTATGTAACTGCAACCTATAAATATATTAAAATAATGTATATTCCATTCAGAGAACTTTTTCCTCGCAGTGCGTCGCCTCGAAATACTTGCCAGATAAATACATTTACTATTATGATGGTTTCGCAGGTACCAATTTTTTATAGATAAATAAAAATATTTTTTGTTTAATTTTTACTACGCTAAATATCAGTTTTCTCTAACAAATATTAACAAAATATTAATTATATATTAATATTAATATAACAAAAATTTATTATAAATAAACACCATGGTGTTTTTTGCAGTCACGTTTCACAAATTTTTATTTAACACCTTGACGGACACCTAAGTTATTCAAAAATAGTCAATTTGTACAGTGCCCTTTTTGTCGATATTATTACCATAATATATTACGATAATTTACCAGATGGGTAACAGATTGGAAGGTATAGATAGGTATTCTACGACAGTGGATTACGTGTTACCATGTATTTATATTATAAATATAAACGCGGTACAGCGTTCTGCCACGATATTAGATTTTGTTAAGGACGCTTCACAGCGTTCTGTCACCAACACAATTTTAAAAAAAGACGCTGCACAGCGTCTCTGTCCATCAACGTGTTAATACTATGTTTAGCTAAGACATATAAATTAAAAATGTGATTAATTCTTTTTAAAACATTATCTACGATAATTAATCTAAAAAAAAGTATTCCGACAAAACTGATTTGAATGGAGAATAATGCATTTATTTTAAACAACCCGTGGGCCGGGTTATTATTAATGGTATTAATTACGTTATAAAATATTTTCTATAATTAGGAAATTATTAAAAAATGTCGTTCGACGCATGAAAACTTCTAAAATTTATGCTACTCTTTTATTTCTGTTCTCTAAAATTTAATTTTCTTATCAATATAAAGTTGGGCCAACTGATATAGGAAGAGGCCGTGCGTGACGTGAATTAATACGATTTTTACGTAAAACTAATGATTTTTTCACAGATAGACTGTGGTTAAGATACAATTCATATAAATAAATCCTTACCTTGACCGCTGCGCAGGTATTTTTGGCAAGGGACTGGATGTTGCGAGAAATCTTGTTTTTTCTTTGTCACTGCGGCAACTGTTATGTTTTCAGGTAGATTAGCTGTTGTTATGGTGGTAGTAGAAAAGTTTGATTCCGGTTTTGGTCTTCTGTAGTACAACATGAAGCTGTCGTCCAGTTCAGTTGGTGAGAAAGTGCTTGGATCTAAGTCGAATCTACACAATAAAAATTCTTTATATACCTGACTTAAATTTACAAACTATTAAAACGCAGTTTTACGGAGAGAAAATAATATTTTTTTCTAGAAATACCTAATGTGGGAGATCAAAAAAATATTTTACCGTCTATAACATCTTAATTTCTCATTTGGAACCTAAATACCTACGTCAGATAAAAAGAATCATTAAAGTAGTCCATTTTTAACTTTAACGCTATCAACAATTTTGGTAAATGTTTAAGTGACTAATTAACGATTGTTTATCGAAAACTGGAAGCAAATTACGAATTTATTTATACTCTAGTAAATGACCGTTTTGGAGTGTAATTATCCTCGTCACGACGGATTAGCTTAAACATTTGGATTTAAGTTCCTCTTACTCTCTACTTCACTTTTGGGCTTTAGCCCAGGGTTGCTTTTACTTGGGGAGTGAAAGCAATCCCTTCTCGGGGGTTAAAAACTTGTTCAAAATAATTCCGGAAATGGATAAACTAACTAATTCTAAGCAACTTTTATTGTATAGAGTTTTTTACTAAGTCAATACTTTTTGAGTTATTTGTGAATGAAAATGTTCATTTTTCAAAATAAAACCACGTTTTCAGACGGATTTTCACAAATAACTCGAAAAAGTAAGTATTCTGAGCAAAAATGTAGATTATAAAAAAAATGAGTTGGAGCTCTCATGAAAAGTAGGTTCTTATTTATTAAATTCCAAATGAGGTATTTCATTAAGAAATAAACAAAAAATGAAGTTTTTTCGGGGAAAACTCATTAAAACTTATGAAAGTTAAAAAAAACCTTATTTTTGTTTTTTAAGTTTCTAGCATTAAAACTAAGCGAGTTACACTTAAAATAAAACTGGTATCTTTTTTTTTGGCAGTAACATCGTGAAAATCACTTTACAATAAATAACTTTATGTATTGTTTATATGATTTGTAAGTTTAACCCGCTCAAAGTGATTATTTTGAAAAAAAAAATTGGTTTTAAAGTAAAGAAAAAGAATTTGAAAAATTAAAATTAAAAAAAATGCTTTACACTCGTGATTAGTAACTAGTTCTTAGTTTTTTCAACTACAACCCTTTTAAATATACCAACGATTACCATAAACAAATTATACTCTGTATGTTTTATTTATTTTCAACAATAAAAAAAATTTCACTATATCCTGGCTATGCATTCTCATATGTCAACTTACGTTGATTTTTTCATAATTGCGTTAAATCCAGAGATAGATAACATCCAAAAAATAATATTGTCAGTTAATATCAAAATATTTTGTAGTATTGTAAAAGCGTTTTGCCGTTTGTGGATTTTACAATGGGTCGAGGTAAAATTATCGGTGAGAAACTTTGTTCAATCATTAATATATTTATTAAAAAGTAAAAATAACCGAAGCAGATCGAAGGACATTAAGACGTATTATAGTGAAAAATCACGAGCAAATTATATGGAGTTAAGCGTTTTATCGTATCGGCTTTGAAAGATATGAAGAACCGCAAATCATCTGGAGAAGACGGCATTGTAAGTGAAATGCTAAAATTAGGAGGCTAATGCGTCATAAAAGCTTTAAAAACCCTTTACAATGCCTGCCTCTTTGAAGGAGTTACACCAGAAAAATGGCCATTATGATAATATTACACAAAAAAGGAGATGTAACAGAAATAATGGAAACTACAGACCTATCAGCTTGTTATCTCATTTATATAAGCTCTTTATGGGAATAATTACTAACAGACTGGAACATAAGCTGGATTTTCACCAACCATTCAAGCAGGCCGGATTTAGGAGTGGCTTTGAAACGAATGAACACCCAGAAGTAATGAAATCCTTAATAGAGAAAGTTACAGAATACAACAAGCCATTAATAGTAATATTGTAGACTTTGAGAAAGCGTTTGACTAAGTCCAGAATAGTTCCATGTTAAGAACTCTTACAGAGTGCAATATTGATCATAGGTACACAACTCTTCTTCGGACTATATATAATAGCGCAACAGCTGCAGTTAAAATGTATTATGGCAACACAAATACATTTTCCAGACAAGTAGATACCATATCTCCTACGCTATTCACCGCTTTGTTGTCAACCTTGTACTGGCGAAAAAACAACTCAACTAACGGCACGCAAATTGAACACTTGTATAGGTATAAATATCTGGGCCACGAGATTAAATAAGGAAGAGATAATCAAACAACGGAGCTAAACAGGAGAATATGACTGGCATGGGCGGCTTACGGAAAACTGAGACAAGTTTTTAGATCAGATATTCCCATGTGCTTGAAATAGAAGGTCTTTGATCAATGTATACTCCTAGTTCTAACGTATGAAGCAGAAACATTGAAAATACAGTAGTTAGGAGAACTAGGTCTAGACTAGATCAAGGAGAAAAACTGGTGTTACTGACGCAGTTCAAAGGATTAAATGTTGAAATGGAACTGGGTGGGTCATGTTGCCAGATTAAAAGATGGAACTTGTCCTTCAACAAGGTGGTCAGATGACATCAAGCGCATTCAGCACAACTGGATTCAGGGTGCTCAAGATATAATGAATTGGAATTATTTACGGGAGGCCTATGTCCAGCAGTGGACTTAAAACGGCTGATGATGATGAAGCGTTTTATGAAGTGACGTTATTGAAATACACGTTTCTAGATCAACATGATACCGAGAGGCCCACAAATTAGGATTTGGTGCTTCCAAAGTAAGTTTTATAGTTGAAAAATTTAGTACGAATTGTTTTTAATAAATTTCATTTTATATTAGGCTAAGGAAAAGCTCCTTTTAACGTTACAACAAAAGAAAAATAGACTAAGATGGTCAAAGGAGCATAAAGATTGGACTCAGTCGCAATGATATTTTATAGTATTTTATAGTGTATTTGTATCTGTATTTTATAGTTTCAATGAAAAAAAAAAAACAACTATTCGATTTTCCTCGCCAGGGATGATTTTTAAAAGGGTAGAAATTATGTAGTAAAAAATTAAAAAATAAATAAATCTAAATTAAATGTCACTGTACAATTAAATCATTTCAAATTGCTTGAATTTAAAGTTATACAATTTTTTTCTAATATAGGTCGTTTTCACCCCTAAAAAATTAAAAGGAACCAACAGCACATATTCAATTTTGAAATGGAGGGAAAGTACAATCTAAATCCAAATTTCCATGCAAATCAGAGGAGACAAGGTATTCAAAGACATTTTTTTGATTATAATGAATGTAGAGGTTGAGATTTAGGGGGTAAACTGTAATAAAATCTTAAATAATATTGTTTAATGTTAATTGTCATTCATTTACCTCATTACAAGATGATTTGAATCAATTACCCGCTTTAATTTACAATTATACGATTTTTGTTCTAATAGGGGTAGTTTTCACTAAACAATAAAGAAGCAACCAATTGCACAAGTTCAAAAATAAAGTAGCGGGTAAGTAGAATCTAAATCCAAATTTCCATGCAAATCAGAGGAGACAAGGTATTCAAAGACATTTTTTTGATTATAATGAATGTAGAGGTTGAGATTTAGGGGGTAAACTGTAATAAAATCTTAAATAATATTGTTTAATGTTAATTGTCATTCATTTACCTCATTACAAGATGATTTGAATCAATTACCCGCTTTAATTTACAATTATACGATTTTTGTTCTAATAGGGGTAGTTTTCACTAACAATAAAGAAGCAACCAATTGCACAAGTTCAAAAATAAAGTAGCGGGTAAGTAGAATCTAAATCCAAATTTTCATACAATTCGGTGGTGACATGGAAAATTAGAGGGTATCGTCGTATTTTTCGATCATTTATTATTGTAATTGTATAATATTATTATTATTATTGTAATGACACACATTTTGCTCACATGAATAACCGCCGTAAAAAAGTAATACTGATAAAATAAATACACTGGCATTAAAAAAATATGGCATCAGAAGAAGCAGCACAAGTTTTTGCTTTACAGGATGATGGGCGTAGCATTCGTTAAATTGCAAATGCTTTAAGAATTTCTCGAACTAAAGTGTTTGATGCAATACAAAGACTTCGGGAAACAGTACAATATACCAGGAGGCCAAGTCAAGGTAGACGAAGAACCACAAGTCAAATTGAAGATCGCTTTCTTAGGTTACAAGCGTTAAGCGATCGTACATTATCAGCACCAGTACTTGTTCAACGATTAAATGATGTCTATAGAAACACAGTTTTCGTTTATACCATTCGAAGACGCTTAAATAAATATGGATTAACGTTCAGAATACCTGTCACGGTGTCACTTGCCACATGCCAACATCTTAATTCGGGTGTTGACGATTGAAGTGCTGTGCTTTTAACGGAAGAATCAGATTTAACAGATACTCATCAAATGAGCGGCCTAGGATATGGAGAAGAGCTGGTGACTTATCAGCAATGTTGTTTTTCTCTGATAGTTTAATTTGGTGGAGGCGGTATCATGGTGTGGACAGGCATTTTCCTAGAGGCTCATACAGAACTTGTTACAATTTAAGGGGGCAATTTAAACGCTCAACGGTATATTCAGTAATGTTTGGAAGATCATGTAGTGACATTTGCCCCATTTATTGGAGAACACGTTCGTCTGATGCAAGATAATGCTCGTCCGCATATCGCAAGAATAACACGGGATTGTTTGGATGAAGTTGAGATTTGTTTATTACCATGGTCCCAAAGTAGTGCAGACTTAAATCCAATAGAGCATGCTGGGATATTCTGGGTCGACGTATTTGACGTAAATATGGTGAGTATGAAACCATGAATGATTTGGAGCAAGCATTTCATGACGAGTGGGAGCAAATCTCTCAAGCAGACTTTGCTGTGTTAATCCGAAGTATGTCTTATCGAATGAGAGACGTAATTATTTTGTCGAGGTAATACACTCCTAAATATCGTTTTCTATAAAAAATGTTTATATTTAAAAAATAATTTTTGGTTCTTTTCAGATTTTCAATTTTTTTTTTAATTGTTTATTGTTTTTTCTGTGTAGCATTC